TTCCCTGTTTTGCTGATTTATAGTGGAAATTGTTGGTAACATTATTACACTGTGAAATAGGAGAAAATAACAAAGGTCAATAGCACAAGAGGAAGATACAGCCGCAGATGGGTCACAGGGTTGGATTTGAAAAGATCAGCAAAGGAATTTTCCAGGGCTATTTCAGGGAGCATTAGTCGTCTATAGAATGTACTTTAGCTGCTCTAAATAATCCTTTTATCATTTATGATTTATAATGCAAAAACACAATAAATTCCCCAGAATCATAAGACACATTAAAGAGACTGCTGCTAGGATTCTGCGGTGACTGCTGCTCACAGTGCATGTGTGTGTGCACAGTGTGGAAACCAGTGACATGCTGCAGCTCCAATCAGATAAAAGAGAAAGAAAGCAGAGAAACTATTTGCTGGAAACTGAGAAACTAAATATATTTCAAATACATCACCATCATAATATGCCCCATTTGGAAATTAGGCTGCACAGTATCCTATCATCTGACACAGTCCAGAACATTCACACACAAAAAACACTGCCACACACAAAATCTACTGAAACACTGATGTGGAAAAACCTTTTTGTTTTTTGGTCAGTCTTAACTTTGATGAACAGAAGAAGAAAAAATAGTTCAGCCCAGGTTGTCCTGACCTGATGTCAGAGAATAGAAGTATAGCTTGAATAGGCACAGCTCATGACAAAGTATGTACACAATACGATACGATATACTTTATTGTACCCTTAGGGACATTTGTTTTGAGAATGCTGCACACATATAGCTGCTTCCATAGTCTTAAGAATAAAAGATTATTATCAGGTGAGTCAGGAACATTAACAAGGTCTCAATCTTATCTTTTTTTTTTTAAACAAGTATTTATTTTTTATTTTTTTACAGAAACACACACAAGGCACATGTATGGACAGAAAAAAAATTTAAAAAATAAAATACACATTGGCCTGTTTGTAGAGGTATCTTAGGATTCAATATATTAGTCCATGAATAGTCATTTCACCATCAGCATAAAAGGAAAATTAAATAAATACATAAAAGAAAAGAAAATTAAAGAAAAGAAAAGAAAAGAAAAATTCAATTCAGCTTGTCATCAATCCAGCCATCTACATCCATATGTACATGTTTCTCTCAAGGAAGTTATAAATGGCAGTGTCATTACATCCAGATTTCTCAAAAACAATGTTAAGCACTATACGTATAGTATGGAAGCCTTGTCGTCCAAGAACAAAGCCGTTCTGGTCAGGGTGTACCATTTTTGGTAAGAGTGTTTCTAAACGTTTAGCTAGAACCTTACAAAGTATTTGAGGTCATTGTTGAGAAGTGAGATCGGTCTATAAGTCTTTCCTGGTTTAACAAGAGTGATTGTAGCCATATTTAGAGAGGGGGGGACCCATTGTCTAGTGACTCCACCAGTGTAATCTGTACTGTATAAATTTTGGTAAAACCCCAAAAAGGCTATATTAATCTCCTTTGGGTCAGTAGTTTCAAGGAAATCATCTAGCTGAATAGAATTTATTGCTCTCTCAGTTTAATTTAATTTAATTTAATAGATTTGCCTAGATTTTTTAGTTCTTTTAGTTGCTTTATTTACTGACAAAACATTATATCTTGTGTTCAGTTCATCTAAGTTCAGTAAGTTATTTCAGTGTTTGTTGGGAAGGATTTTTAAAATGTTCAGTTTCAGTTTCTTTTATCCTCTTTTCTAACTGTTCCATATCTAACTTCCAAATTTTATGTTTTGAACTAGTGAAACTTATCATTTGGCCTCTCAAAAAGTCTTTGAATGCTTCCCACCGTATAGCAGCTGACGTTTCAGTTGTGTCTCAATCTTATCTTTGCTTACAAACACCCAGAGCCTCCTCTCATTAAGCATGCAGCAAGTGTGAAGGACTCTCAGGTTACCCGACTTTGTCAAAGCACAGTAAAACAATCCTCTTATGTCCAGTAAATTTCTGTCACACATACTAATGGTAAATGGAATTTAATTGAAATGACTGGTTACAGCCATTGTTACACCTAAGACTTTGTTCCTTTTTTTCACAGAAGACATAATGTTATGTCACACTAAGAAAAAGCACAGGTGTAAGTAATCAAAAAAAAAAAAAAGATGCTGAAGGCTGAATTCCATTTCCGCTTCGAGGTCCTGGTATTGTGTCTGCTGGCTCACTGTCACACTGTCAACACTTACTGGACTAGACTAACTTAAGTATGCAACTAAACACATGGGTAGTGTGATGAGTCTGTCATTGCAGATTGTAGTGCTTTTTAGGATACGTGGCAATTTCAACCAGATCAGCTACTGTAGCATGACATCTCCTTCTGTCAGTTTTATTGATGTCATGTGTGCTATGTGCATTGACATACACGTTAGTCGTCGATATGTATGCGGATAGGACTGGTGATCAGGGTTTCCAGTTTTGCTTCTTATTGATTGGATACACTGTTTTTATCTTTAGAATCAAGACAAAATTACATGCTGACGTTAATGTTTGAATGGCACAACTTTGTGTTCCCAATAGATTCCCCAAGTTTTTTCCTCCGTCAAGCCAGCAAGGTTGTGAAAGCACTGAATATGAATGTAAGTCAGAGACAGGACTTTCATACAGAATCAGTATACAGCCCTACCCCCAGGTTACTTCACTCTTCCTGCATTCTTTGGAGCTTCCTGAGAATGAAAGCTGATGCTGAAAGTCAGAAAAAGTTGCACAGACTCAAATACTTTAGAAGTAGACTTTTCCTCATTTATAGTCTGAATCAAACTCCCTCGACCTGGTACATATGTGTTTGTTTATGCACAGAGTCATGAACTTTACTGGTATTATTATCGTCACTAAGTGTGGTTATCTTCTGATTTCATCATGTTGTCCTTTATTAATTACAACATTATACAATTGGAGTGGAAAGCAGAGTGAAGAAAAATTATGATCTTTTCTGGCCTGTCTTGCAACACTGCTTTCAGACATATTGTAAGATGATATGTAATATTTTCCAGACTAGATGTAGTGCGAATGTGTATAAAAATTAGTCTGTTAACTGAAGCATAGGACATTTCAATCTACAACAAAACAAACAAGCTTCTAGCTGAAACCTGGATGATATTTATTCTTAACGTCTGTAACCTCTTTCCTCCCTCCTTTCAACCACATGGTCTCTACAATGTGGTTACAACATCAGCGTGTCACAAAACACACATTTCAAAAATAATTTTATTAGTTTGTTCAGTTGTAGGTTAACAGAGAGATGTCACTGATTAGTGTGAAGGTACAGTATTTCTCTAAAGTCATATTGCATTGGTAGGCAAAATGTGCTCTACACGCTTTTAATGTTTAATTTAAAATGTCATAAATATTGAACTATATGGGCTGTGTGCTGCAAACAAGAAGCTTCCAGGACATTGTAATGGGAAAAGTTCTGTACATTAATGCAAAATAAGAAATTGTGCTTACTGCTATAATGTGCGTGTGCAAGTACTTAGGTTTATTAGTTACAGCTTCAGCTACTCCAAAGGTATATGTGTATTGTGAGAAGTTAATCTTCAGGCTTTTTGCCAGAAAGTGCTTTCTGACAAAAGTCCTTAGGATGTCAGCTAGTAAAGATTGGCAGGACGACGTAGTGGATTAGTGGGTTAATTGTAGGACTTTCCCCCAGTAGACTATGATATCCATGTGAAGTGGATTTTTATATTTATACTGGCCTTCAGCTGATAAATGTGGGTGTAGTTTTAGGTTCCAAAGTGATGAATGGTTATTATTTGCACATTGTGGAGGATGGAAAATTTCATTATTGCAAATCCCTCTGAAATATGTTCTATATAGGCTCAATCAGCGTCTTCAAAAACATTCACTTTTGTTTCGTACGTCTTTTCATCAGCGACCATCGTCCTTTCTAAACTTCCTTTCATCTGAAAAATGTTGACTGGGTATACATAACTTAATGTATTTGGCGATGATCAGGCACATTTTTTGGAGTATTCAGTGATCAATTATTAAGTAGAGTGGTTGTAAAGGCCTCAGTATGCCTGAAACTAAGTGCTTCAAAAGAAGAAAAGTGGGGGATGGGGAGGGGTCATTTCTTTAGTCACACGGTGTGATAATCTCATAATCTAAATCCTGATTTAGCATAGGTTTTACTTTAGATGTGACACTCTTAATGAAATTTACTGTCACAGATCTCTAACTGTTAATAACGGGGCAAAGTTAGTAATTTATGTACGATCAATATAAAAGCCAGGAACATTCTGGCAGACAGTTTTCATTCTTAACTCATTTGGGTTGAGCCTTTAATAATGTAGGGGCAACTTTGAATGCCTTTAGCAAATGTGCAATTTGGTTTTATGGAGCCTTTTATTCCAATCAGCAGTTTAACCTTTGAAAACTGAGCCACAAGATCTGTTCTATAGTCTTTTAAGTATCAAACTTTTTTATGAGGTTTTTAAATTTTTTTGTAATGCCCTGGTTTAGCTTCTCTAGTGGTGTGGCTCCAGGGATGTCCACTACTTCAGTCCAGACTGTCTAATTCAACAACGATTGGATGGATTTACATTAAACTGTACAGACATTCGTAGTGCCCAGGGGATGAATCCCAGTGACTTTGGTGTTCCCTAGCTTAATCATCAGGTCAAACATTTAATTTGACCAGTACTTTGGTTTCTGAACACATACCTGTACAACATTCCCATCAGCCTTAGCTGAACTTTGTGTTTAGTGCTAACACGTAAGACGGTAAACATTAAACCTAATATAAGCTCTTGTAAGCATGTTAGCATGCTGACATAGTTCAGCCTTACAGAGCTGCTAGTAAACTAAACTAAGTAAACTAAAGTGCTCTTTTTCAGGCTGGTTTTAGTAATTTATAGACCTATTTTTGATGGCCCTCTCTTGCAATTTTTCCACTATATGTTATACATTATGTTATTATGTTTTGGTTTTGGTTAGGTGAGCCAGATGAATTACAGCTAGCCACTCTCTCTCATCCACCTCTCTGTCTTTCTCAGGTATTGTTTCGCTGATCTCTCTGGTGATCCTCTCCTACGACCGCTACAGCACTCTGACTGTATACAACAAGCGTGGGCCAGACTACCGCAAGCCCCTGCTGGCTGTGGGGGGCTCTTGGCTGTACTCCTTATTCTGGACAGTGCCCCCTCTGCTGGGCTGGAGCAGCTACGGCATAGAGGGAGCAGGAACCAGCTGCTCTGTCTCCTGGACGCTTCAGACAGCCCAGTCGCATGCCTACATCATCTGCCTCTTCATTTTCTGTCTGGGTATTCCTATCCTGGTGATGATCTACTGCTATAGCAGGCTGTTACTGGCAGTCAAACAGGTAGAGTGACATCGAAGTGTGTGTGTGCATGTGGTGTATAAAGGTTGATGCTTTTTTACTGTCTGATGTTGAAGGCAAAAACAGAAGTTGCTCAAATTGATCCTCCAACAAAAATGTTTGAATACCAAACTCTCAAGACTTGACAGGTGGCAAAAAAATTGCTTTTTCACAAAGAAGAGCAGGTGGTTAGCTTGAATTCATGAATTCATGACGTTTTAAGGTGCGGGGGGGGGGACACTTATCCGGGGGCTGGGTTGCAATGGCTGCAGGCTAAGCAGGATAGTCCAGACGTTCTTCTTCATAGCAACATTTTCCAGCTCCTTACTGGGGATCCCAAATTGTTACCATATAAATCTGAAAAGTGAAACTGTTTCGGCCTGGACACCATTCAGGTGGACAATTGGCTTTGAAGTTTGATCCTTGTGGGATTACACGGGAATGGCAATGTCAATCACAAGCTCCACATCCATCTCAGAGATATGAGTGAGGGTGACAGATGACATGATGTAATAATGTGACATCAAAGAAATTTCAGCACAGCTGCAGCAATAAAGTTTCTGCAGTCTAAACACATCAACAGTAAATGTCAGGTTTGGGTGACAGCCCATAAATCAAGGAAATCACAGAAATGCTACAGCTACCTTTCCTCCACTCAGCTAGTAGACCAGAGTGCAGTGCAGCTGAAAGGCAAGATGTCAGTCATGTTAACAGATGCACACAAATGTTTATGAACTAGCTGGTGAGCTGCAGTATCAGTATTTCTCTGCTCATGTCAAGCTTTGATTGAAAACTAAAGAAACATAACTAATCCCTTCTCTCAGGATTGTGAGCCAAAATGTGTCAGTTGTTCTTTAAACTACAAGTGTGCATTTTCTTTTGGAAGTGGGTGAAGATCTGCTCCTACAGCACTATCTTTCTTATCTTTCAAATAAATTAAATTAAAGTAGTAACATCCATTACTTCCCAACAAAATAACTCAGGGACTGCCCTGAGCACAACAGACAGATTTTTATCTTCACAATGTAACTGGACCCAGCTCCAGGGACAGTAAGAGATTATAGAGTCTGACTTTTAGACATCTTTTCACCAATCACTGTCATGCACTTAAAGGACCAGTGTGTAGGATTTAGTGGCATCTAGTAGTGAAGATGCAGATTGTTACTAATTGAACCCCACTGTCGTCTGTATTTGATGACCTGGGAATGAGAACGGGCCTTCTGAGAAAACATGGTGGTTCAACATGGCGACCTCCACAGAAGATGACCCGCGGTGTCTGTAGAAAACAACGACTCATTCTAAAGTAATGAAAACATAACGATTCCTATATTCAGGTGATTATACACTAATGAAAACGTAGTCATTGTTGGGGTAGTTGTATGTATGGATTACTCATTTCTCTTTTAAAAAGTAATATTATTACTTTACTTATTACTCCCTGCCAACAATAATTAGTTACACTACTAGTTATATTACTTTTCTGCTACTCCTCACAAAATTGGAAATTGTGTCCTTTCTCCCTTAAAATTCAGACTTACAACAATTAAAATCTTCTTCTTTTTTTTGTTAAAATCAAAGTAATGGAATATTTCCAGATGCTGAATATAAGAATCCAAGGATTGGATTATTAGATTTCAGATCAGCAGGGTGAAAACAAAACATTTCTTTTCTTTTTCCTTTTTGGTGGGGGGTCATAGCAGTGACTGGCACATTGAGTTTTGTAGAGAGACTTTACTTGCTTTAAGTTAATTCTTTTGCCCTTCCAGTGAGATAGATTGTTTATTCCTGAGAGCAGAGCACAGCATTAGGTCTCAGAAAGATCAGCTGCTGGATAAAGCCTAAATCCACTCTTGTTCCTTTAGTCGTTTTAATCCAATGTTTTTGTGCTTAGGACCTCAGTTTTATAAGTGTAAAGCCAAAATAAGAATTATTAGAAGACGACTGCACAGTACACAAACATAGAAAGACAACAATCAATCTCTGGATGGCTCTTTCCTAAATAAATCATATACTCTGTAATGACCTTCATGTATCAATAAGCAGCTTTCATAAAATGCCCTTCACCTATAATTACCTCTGTGTGTGCCACATTAGCTGAATTGGCTTCAGTTTAGTTTCATTACATTTGTTCAGTCACTCTTTGAACCACCTGTTCAGTCTTAAAAGAAAATGGACACCACTCTCATTTAGCACAGTAATGCTGCATTCACAAACAAAGCTTCGGGCAGAATGGAAGGACAGCAAAACAAAACAGGCAAGACGATATTTTGTCATTTGGTCTCAAGCAAGTCATTTAAAGGCCTTATGGTAATGTGTTGAATGACTCTTACAATGATAGGTTTGATGATCTGGCTTTCAGAAATCTGCAGGTCTTGAGTTCAGCAGGTCACCTTTTTTCTTCACATGTGAAACTCTTGAATCCAAAAGTGATGACTCCTGGCGCAGGCATGATGATGATGATGATCTGATCTGATCCATAGACCATCATGTAGCATTGTGAGAAGCTTGACTGACAGGGTATTCATCCAGTAATGGCAATGCCATTCCCAGTGTGCATTCGCATACCGGGTAACGTTATACAGACACTTGCAACGGCCGTCCACTGACAATGTTGAACACAATATTTAATATTTAATATTTAAACGAAAACACAAAATGAACACAGGGTCTGTTCATAGTTATATCAGCATTATACCAACATGTACACCTTTCATGACAATTTCAATGTCTATCTGTATCTCACTCCTGTATCTGTTTGACATTAAAACCTCCCTTGTCTTTCTGTGGAAAGAATGTGTTAACAGGGCTTTTATTGTATTGTTTTTATCAAGGCAAACTCAGTGTAGAAAGATAGGGCAGGCAGAAGCAGCTCCGCAGCAGAAATGCTCTCCGTGTGGTCACCTCTGGCGTGTGAGCTGCAGCAGTTCAGCGAAGCAGCTGTCACGCACTGCTTATGCATCCTCTGTGGAAGAACCGTTTGAAGCAAAATAATATAGGCAGTAGTAGATAGCTGCTTTAAAGGATGAGATTGATTATCAAATAGCTTGATAAAGCCTTATTCTTCATTGCATAAAATATCCCTGTGAAATTCCTATTAAGGAATCTCAAACACTGATCTCATTCACTTGTGCATCTAGGAAAACTTGAAGCTTTTGTGAGCATAGTAACTCAAACCCTGCTCCTGGAAGGGATGCTCACAAGTCATTTTTAGCATTTTATTAGTTTGGGCCTTGTGTGAAGTTATTACAGGCAAAGGTTATGACAAATGGCTTAGCAGCTGCAGGTGTACTCGCCATGGTGTTGTTGCTTCAGCTTTACTGAAGCTAGCTGTGGCCACACGCACCAGCATTTGGTTACGCATGTTAGTAAGAGAAGGAATGGATTTCAGCGAGTGAGACATTTCCTTATTGTTAATTGTTAAAAACATAAAATAAAGACAGTTCACAAGTCTGAGTCATGTCTCAAGTCAAATCTATAGTCACTGTGCAAATTAAGTGCAACTCTCAGGCAAGTCTCAGATTCGAGTCCCCGTCTCTGGCTTCAGGACATCATCCCTCATCTTCATGCAAGTCCAAAATGACATGGTGCTTAAAATTCTGTGTTCTACAATGACACTTTGCCAATTTATAACCTCCCATAGTCTTGAAAGGTTTCATGTTGCACATTAGTAACATTTGCACAATTATTCCCCATAGGCAAAATAATCAATAAGAGCCTGAGACGCATTGAGAGGAAACTGGATGTGCATCATTCAGCAAAATATTCATAAACTATTCATAAACGGACCGTCACACACTGGCAGTGTTTTGTGGCTTGTGAAACAACCCGCTGCTGCTTTTTTAAAATGGTTTTATCTTCTAATTACGTCAAGAAGCCAGATCTGCACTGCTGTCCATTCAAACTAAACAGACCTGATCACAAAACACACAAGACAGAAGGCAGTTTCTTTATACAAGATCAAAAATAAATGCATCAATAAAAAATATGTGAAAGTCCGAATAATCCAACTAGATGATAAAAGGTACGATATACGATAAGATAAGCTTTTTTTGTTGATTATTAATGCTTTCACTCTCTAGTTTGTTGCGGTCTGTTGTGGTGGAACTCAATTTGACTCATGCTAGGTAATAATAATGAGTGTGTGACAGAGGGTGACAGTTGCAGCAGCAACAATAAGAACTAAAATCACATGAAGAATAGTGTAATGGTGTGTACATTTTTTAGTGAGAATTTGAAAAGCATTGTGTCAGACATTAGCTCTGTTCATCTTGTTCAGTCAAAACCACCTACGTCAAGGGATTTATAGCAAATGGTTACACAGTTTGATTTAGCCGAAAAAGGTTTTGCTTGTTGAGGGAGCTTTTGAAGGATCCCAGCAGCAACGACGATACGGCTGGTACAACTAATCCCCCTTTAGCAAATACACAGATGAACAGTGGGTCTAAAGACAACAACACCAAAAGCCCACACACATACAGAGCAGGTTGGGGTGGTGGACAGAGATGCAGATGCAAATGGGACAGATCAGATTATAAAGGCATCTGTGTGAACTGTATGAATATAATGAGGGTTTTACTAGCTAGCTGGTTGCCATGAAAGCTGGTCACTGAGTCACTGACTATGAAGCATGAATGAATCCCACCAAATCGATGGCGATCATCAGCCGTTAAAGTGAACAAGGGTGGCAGGAAAATTATCACATTCAAAAGCAGCATTTGTGTTTCAAGGAGAAAGGGTAAGATTAAGGGTTCAACATCCTCATTAAATAGTAGTGCAGTAGACTGTATGAGTAACTAATGCTATTGAAGTTATATCCATGAGCAGAGCTGAGCTCTGGTTGGCTTTAGGCCACTCAAATCCCTAGTAGTCATTAAAACTCGGGGTCATTTGCATTAATCGTGGAGGCGTGTCAAAGTTGTGAGAAAGTCCTGGGCTCAGTGGGCTCTGTGGAGAATTTGAACGTGTTGTACAGTTATCTTGGAAAACTCCCTGATTTCTCTCCAACTAGTTTTAATTCATCCACATATCAAAGGGGGGAAGGAAAGGGAATAGCAGAAAAACAGAAAAGCAATCTGTATTTAAAGAGATCCAAAGAATGATGTTAAAAGAATTTTTATTGGATTAGGATTAAGATACAACTAGATGAATCCTGTTTGAAATGTGTGTCAAGAGATATATTCACCAATGAATAAGATTGTGTAAAGAATATATATTTTACACTGTGATCTCTGCCTTTCATTGCACAACCAGGAGGTTTAATTAATTTAATATTTATACAATATGAAGTCAGGAAGATCCTTTATTATCATGTAGTTTTCCAGAGGGCCCTGTGTCAAAATCTAATTTGAATACCTTTATTGTTGTAGCTTATTGTATTGTTATGATGAATGAACACAAAGACTAGAGGAATTACTCCAGAAATACTGGTTATATTTTTAATTTAGGATGTGTTTGAATTAAGGGTTCATATGGATGGTAAGAATTTAACTGCATAGACTGTTGTTGTTCAGATGACAGAAAAAATTAAACCTAACTATGTTACTGTATACTAAACCTACAAACTGGGTGGACTTAAAACTACAGTATTGTTACTATAATGTGCTTTTTTATCATATAGTATATGCTTTTTCAAGCATAGGAGGCACAGACACATATCCATGAAGTCTTTCAAGGGTGACAATTATCTGCACACACCTTCCTCCCTATTACAGGATGACCATTTAAACATTAAACATGCCTGTGGAATAAAAGAAGAATGGGAAGAAGGTACTATAGCAGTGTGCAATTAAACAGCTGATTTAGTAAATTTTCTATCATTCGGGCAGCTGATGTTGATGCTGATTTCCAATTTCCTCATGGTATCAAAACACAGACAGACTCCATTTGTTTGAGAGAAGTACATCTCGATAAATAAGTAATTACCTTTTTTTTCTTCACTTTTGCTATTGTTGCATGACAAAGCAGTGAAAAGCAGGGACAACAACTATAATTATTTCCCTGAAACACAGATGACACATTTATTAGAGCGGTCTTTAGATTTGTCAACGTAGCTTGCAGTGCATCATTAATGTGAGCGTCCTTGAATGCACAAACAAGGAAAGTTTGAGCCTTTGTAAAAACTTTTGAAGTTATAAGGAGTGCAGTCTTATATGTGGAGTACAGTCTAGATCTGCTCTGTGTGAGATTGCTACTGTTATTATTTTGCCTTATTCAAATATAATTGAATTAAAAAGTTTTCAAGGTTGATTTTCACGCCGACTCTCCTCCACAGGTGGGAAAGATCCGAAAAACTGCAGCCCGGAGGAGAGAGTACCACATACTGTTCATGGTTTTGACCACAGCAGCCTGCTACATGTTGTGCTGGATGCCTTACGGTGTCGTGGCTATGATGGCAACATTCGGCCCTCCCAACATCATTAGTCCCGTGGCCAGTGTGGTGCCCTCACTACTGGCCAAGAGCAGCACGGTCATCAACCCTCTGATATATATACTAATGAACAAACAGGTGAGTCAGCAACATGTGTGTGTGATTGACTCAAAGTCATCGATTTAAAAAATCAAGCACAATCTGACATGTACAACAGCTTTATTTACACAGTAGAAAAAGACAGATTACAACAGCTGAAATCATACAAATGGTCTATTTAAATATCAATTCAAGTGTAATAAGAAGAGAATTCACTGATAAATCAAAGTCAACGCCCTAAGGCTGTTCAAAGTGTAACAGGACTTTCGCTCTTTTTCCGTCATGGATGCTTCTTTTGCTCTTCCTCTTTTCAGAAATTCTGCAGGAAGCTGCAGGAGGGGAATGTAAAACTTAAATGTTGAACAATCCTTTAGAGGCAGTGTGGTGCAGCTATTCCCACAATAATATGAAAAACAGGCCTTGAAAGTAAAGAGTGGAGAGAAAGAGACTCGGGCAAAATGGAGTGTCTACAAATATGTTCTCTCTTCTCACCACTACACCAATGGTCAGGCATTAAAATTCTGATCTCCCGTTTTTTAAACTGGCAATAGAATTTAAGTTTTTAATAGGCTTCAAAATTTAATTATGTTACTCATGAAGCATCCCGGAGAGAAGCAATAGCACCTTAGAAGTCCTGCTATTACTCTTTAGACCACATCGCACCCACCGCCATCCTGCTGAGACATAACTAAAAATGGAATTTGGCACAATATTAAGATGCAAACATGAAGTTACCAGAAGGCATTGCACTTAATAAAGTGCTCCCAGGGAACTGCTAATAGCTGCACCGCAGCTGGACGTGATTTCCCTGTTCACAAGCATGCACTAAAATCTGCAAAACACCACTTTAGAAATAAAAAATCTCATAGCCTCTCACAACATTAATGACAATGGTGTTTACTTGCAGCACAGTACAGCACAGACAGTTTAAGACTCTTAGCCCTGATTTGCATGCTCTGTGCATTGGAAAATAATCAAAGTTATTAGAAATATACATGTACAATATGTTCAGGGTTTCTGCACCTTCAGTGTGTTACAATCACAAGCAATAAAACATTTGATCATTTATCTCAACAGAGAAATGTAAAAACTACAGCAGAGCCGAGAAACTGCATGATTCAAAATGAATGGTAAATCTCCTCCAGCTTCAAAAATGTTTTCTTTAGTCTATTACAGTCCTCTAACAGTTACTGACTTAACTGGGTTTCTTGGTCCAAATATATTCTAAATCACATGCCAAACCATCAACCTGAAACTGGGGCTGGGTATCAAACCTCAATACTTTCTTGCATCCAAGCAAAATTCGTCCATAGCATCAATTATCAAAGACCGCCAAGAAGGGTTGGACGATATGACCTTATATACAACATGAGACCATTTGTCAACTGTCAGAAATATTTCCATACAATTTGTGCCGAGGCAGCTGCAAATCAATGAGGAGAACCGCTTTATGGCATTATTAGATCCACAGGATTTTGCATCAATGTGATGAAATACCTTTGTCATGTATGTAATTCACTGAATTAGTCATGATGTTTAGTCTGATCTGGTTATTTCATCTATACATACACTCAGTCGCCAATTTATTAGCAGCACCTAGCTCAAAGTAATGCAGTCTAATGCAAAAGCCCTACAATAAATCCTACCTTACTGAAGGTTATAATGTTCTGATTTTGATGAAACTGTAAGATCATTTTGGAGGCTGCAGTGTTTTTCCACTCCCATTGATTTTAGTGAATTCACTGCAGGGCTGGTGTATTAGATTTATTTTATCATAATAAACAGTAAGTCAATGTTGCAATATAAAATACCATAATAGATTTTTCAAGTCAAGTATTGAAAAGTGGCACCAAATACTTGGTCGGATGCTTGTTTCTTTCCTTCGATCAGGTATAAAAAAGGTTCTTTTTGGTAGAAAAAAAGGTTTTCAAAAAATGTGTTGTTTTGGTATCAGCACAGTACACGTTTGTAATCGCACTGACACATTTTGGATGATACCCAGCCCTACTCAACAAGTAATGCTAAGCCCCAGAATCATCTACAAACTACTTCTACAGAGCCATCTACTTCAACATACATCAGACTATTCAATGCAACATTTCTGAGACAAGTTTTCACATCTTATTACGAACCACAACCAATGGCACGAGAACATTTTGTATAATAGTACACTTAGCAAAAAAAAAATCTATTATAGGCAAGATTTATCTGACTGAAAGTCTGCAGCAAAAATCACAACCAACCCTCCTCTTCAAGCTACCTCTAGAGCTTGCTGCAGATGTGGCACTGACTGACTGTAAACATAAAAATCATCCTATCTGGAGACAACACAAATCTGAGGATATTACCAGTTCAAATTCTTCTTTTAGAATTGTCTCCACTCTGAGCTGCGGACAGATACAGACCAATATGACACATTAATAGTTTTAGGAAATGAGCTTCATGCGCTTACGTGACATAGACAAAGAATACCATACTGCAGCGGTGACCACCAGGGAGGGTTTGGCCATTAGACGCAATGGTAAAATTACATTCAATAAAGAGTGAACTGTCAAAAAAAAAAACAGGGGCTGGTGATTGCTGAGTGCAGAGCTACAAATCCCCTGATACAGCTCACTTCAGCAATATCAACTGCTCCGCACCTCTCACTGCAATTAAACTCCACGTTACTGCAGTCCTGCCACAGTATGTACTGCATGTATCTGAACAGTCACAAGGCAACCCGAGGAAAGTGTTCAGCTGACCACTAGGCACAGGGTTACGGCTGTTCTGAGCACCGGTTTGTTCTCAAAATCCAATTTGGCCCCATTAACTTTAGTTTAAGTAAACTGTCAGTAAAAAAAAAAAAAGTTACTATAGGTAGGGTAACCAAAACAGGACAACCAGTGCCTTGGGCGTCCTGTGGGCTACAAACTGACACTGAATGAGGAAATGATCCTACATGTGTGAACAAGGAGTGACAACTGGTGGTTGTGAGCTGGCTAATTGGCATGCACAGGAGACTAATTTGTAATTAAGCTTAAAAAGTACAGTACAGAGGTGCATGTTTGTGTGAGTGGGTGTATATTTCTGAGTGTATGTTGCATTTATGACATTCAGCGTGGATGACTTCTTACTTATTCTCTACCCTTTGGACCAGTAAAAAAAAGAAAAAAGAAAAAAAAAAAAAAATCACAAATATCCACCATAAACAGTGGCATTTCCTTTTTAAGTGGAGAACCACCCATCTTATTGAAAAACACATATTACACCATTGAAACACACCCAGTTATTGAAAATTCACTTGTCTATCTAAAAACATTAATCTGTTGCTACCCTAGTCAGCTCCACAGCTAACGTGGCTCAGCTAAAGCAGAGAAAAATGTCTATTTCAGCTCCATCTCGAAGACTCTTCCTGCCAGTCTCTGGTCTAGTAAACCATCTTAATGAAGACAAGTTCTTTTAGAAGCCTCCACGTTGATCCCTCCCTGGAGGGCTATGGCTTATGTTCTTCATGGGTCTAATTTGAAACTTCAACGCTCCAGCCTCCTTGTCTCGAGTGGTTTTATTGCACCTCTCCCTTAGTCAGCCAGAAAAGGCTAGAGTGTGTGTGTGTATGTTTGGGCTCAGAGGGTTAGGTTTCATATCTCAGATGTCACAGTTGACGGTGCTTAAGCCTGGAAGAGTAACCCGCCCCTTCCTCCTGAGGTCACTCTCGGGCCCCGTGTTGATCCGCTGGATCAGGCTCTTCTCATACAGGAGTGGATGGTAGGCACCCAGTGTACAGGCAGCATCATAGTAACGCTCATGGTAGTGACACAGGTCCGTCTGCCTCATGGAGGGAATGTACTCGTACACATGCACCTGTTCGCATAGCGCCATCATCAGGAGGATGCCTGCAATGGCAACAGACAGAGAGAGAGAGGTTTAGGTTGTCATATTCAAGAATATTTTCTGACGTACTTTAAAACCTGTTTAGCAGAGAGAAGCGCTCTCGTTTCAGGAACTCTCTGTGCACATTCACACAGTCACACATGTTAAAGCTGCCCAGTCCAACCAGTCTGATCTGCTCGTCGCTGAGCAGCTATACTGGAGTTGGGGGATAACGGAGCAGCTTAACATTTTGGGAAAATGCGCTTAGTTGCTTTCTTTTGCCAAGAGTTAGACAAGGAGGAGATCGATACCATTCTCACATCTGCCCGTTCAATACGAAGCTACAGCCTGAGGCTTAGCATAAAGACTGCTAGCCTGGATGTTATGTTATTTAATGTTATTTAATGATCCATCCACTCTTTAGAGATGGATGGATCATTAAATAACATGTTGTATCATGTCTGTCTAATCCATGCAAAAACTGAAGTTGAAAATCCAAAAGTTGCAGTTTAAGGAGGAGTTGGGGGCGGGACCATTTCTTGGTTTAGTAAATAAGTTGTTGCCTGGCAACCTTGTGGCAACATTAAGACTACAGAAATTAATTACTGAGCTTTAGAGCTGCAACTTTTAAGGCTGCTACGACAGATATGAAAGGGATATCGATGTTTTCATTTCACTTAAACAAAAAAAACACCGCTTAATAGGCAGGATAAAGAATCTTACTACTAACAGTAGCTAACTACCTAGATACATTTCTAAAACAGTGACCGAAATATCCTCCTTTACATAAAGATAAAAATAGAACCCAATACATAATATATGAAGAGGTAAGTTTGCCTGCCTTAGCATACTCTACATGGTGTCTTAAATACACTGTGGTTGCCAACACAGAGAGCGGTCAACTCCTGCATACATTTACTTACCTATTGTTATTTTTCCATTTCACCTTCCTTACTACGTACTATTCTGCCGATTTCTAGCATCTTTTATCTGACAATTGTTATTCTGCTGGCAACTCTTCTGCTGCATGTCTGCCCTCCAGTATGATTACAATCACTACAGATAAATCCCATCTGCAGAATGTGTAAGCGTGTTATGTTAGCATGTACTGAAGTTGTATTTGTAAGCCAGTTGGCTCTGTATTGGATCCAGAAGTTTGACCATCTATTTTGCCCTTTCTTGAACCAATTTCCTCATAATTATCAACATAGAGATCAATTGGAAATAAAATCTCACTGGCTCAAACACACTAATGAGTCTCATCAATGTGTACGCACTATGTTAAGAGAAAGACCTGCCATAAGTTTTACAAATGAATTCTTAAGCAAAAGGTTGACAAGAGGAAAAAACAGATGGCATCATGACACACTGTGTCGCAATATTCAGGAAACATGGATAAATAAATAAAGAAGAGCAAGCACTTCAGAGAGCTGCACAGAGATCTTTCTAAGTAATGTGTTAAATGACCTCTCTGGTCAAACTAACCACTACTGTAAGTGTTAGATGCCCCCTTCTCTGCCAGTGCAACACCACTAAGGGACCATTTGCTCCTTTCAAGTAGCATTACCTGTTGACTGTGAGGACATGAAAGTGCACTCTGGCATGATTTCTGCCCAGTAAAACTTTGACCAACAAGTCTCTCTGGCAGGGTCAAACAAAGCTCAGTCCACATTTGATGATTTTAAGAACTCTCATTTTGAGATGTTGCGTTCACATTGACTTTCTTTCCGCCTCTTCCTCAGTTCTACAGGTGTTTCCTGATTCTCTTTCACTGTAATCACTGGTCAACGGAGAGCGGCAACACCTCGATGACCTCCAAGACCACAGTAATCCAGCTAAACCGCAGAGTGTACAGCAACACGGTGGCCTGCACCGCCCAGACCTCCACTGATGCCATCAACCAGTGCGGCAGCACCCCAACATCCAAGCACACAACGGCCCCCGAGGTCACTACCTGAGCCTGAATATCCTCAACAGGACCAGATAGAAAACACAGTCATAATGAAACAGCAGTGGCTCAGCTTGACAGCTAGACACTCAGTGTCAACTACTGTGGAATGTGGACTAAAGCATGATACATTTAGAAAGTAAATGTTTTTAATGTGTAAGCTTGTGTTTGTACAGAAAGGAATCGCTTTGTGTGTCCATTGAGTGTTTATTTTATATACGCTATATGGCCATAGGTATGCAGACACATAAATATTAAATCCATATGTGATTGCTGAACATCTCATTCCTACAAGATTTTGGAACCTGGCTGCAGATATTTGCTCCCATTCAACCACAATGTGAGGTCAGGCGATAAAGCCTGGCTTGTAGTTGGCTTCCAATTTATCCCAAACGGTATTTAAAGGGTTGAGGTCACGGCTCTCTGCAAGCTAGTCAAGCTCTTCTACAAAACACATTTCTTTATTGAATTTTAATGTTTAAACAGGAAATGATCTTCCCAAAACTATTGTCTGAAGTATTACTGTATGTTATACGCTTAGGATTTCCTTTAATTGGAACCAAGGAGCACAAACCATAAAACCAGCCCCACAGGTGCACAACAGTATTTGGACATGTACTTTTGGCCATATAGAGCACTTAACACTTGTTTTATAAGTCTATATGTCCAGGAAATACTTTTCTTTCAATATTTATTGGTCAGTTACAAATTGTAATTGTTGATATTCAAAGGTTCAGAAATTGTAAATGTCAATGTTATCATATACAAAGCACATTCTCTTAATTAAATTGGAATCAGGGTGAAAATGTTTTGGAAAATGATCTCTACAAATATGTAGAAATACTGAGAATTTTGTAGTTTGTTAAAACTCTCGTTTCTTAACAAAGATTTCCAAACCCAGGTACTTTTAGAATGGTAACATTTGTGTGTTTTTTTCCTTACAACGTGAACTTGTTACTCGTAACTTTTAAAACATATATTTTATGTTGGCTGAATTCCTTTTTGTTTTTCTTCTTTCAACCATCTTTTCAACAATCTGGTGCCTATTCTCTGTTGCTGTTCAGTCAGTTTGTCATTGTACTGCTGTAGATGTCAAGGATAGTCAATCATAGATTTGTGCTTCTTCAATCAGTGTCCTAGTGGATTGATGTATTCATCATTTAACTGTCGTCTTTTCCTCCTCCTTTCTCCCGCCTCTGCACCGCTCAGACTGTAAATGTTACAGACTCTTAAAACTCCTCACAGAAAGACCTCATCATGAACTTAACTTTCAACGTGTATATCCTTGAAATGTTATAATTTACGTCTGCATGGTATGAGTTTATGTATTTTTATGTCTGTGTTATTGCATGGTTTTGTTGCATGTTTCTTTGTGCATTAAATTTGAAATTTATCAATACACCTGTATTGAATTAAAGAGCTCCACCCTCTCTAGGAGTGACTGGTCACACCTGTTAAGTAAAAGTGAGAGCTGTGAAGCTTTTGGCCTTGAGATGACAATGATAATTATGGCCATGGACGGGTACAAGCAAGGAGATATGGGATGACAAACATCATATTTCACCCGTTTTTAGTTTCCCATGCCAGGCAGGGAGAGGCCAGTCTGATAAAAGAAAATAATATATACAGATATATATGATCAGCTAAAGAGTAATGGTGTTTCAAGAATGTGACAGGTAATGGGAACTCATACCACGCCTAAGCACATGGCTGTGATGCAACACACTTAAGCCCTATTCGCACGGGACTAGTATTACTGGGGACCTCATGTGATTTAGTAATTACCCCACCATGTCTGTGTTTCGTGCGGCGCATTCGCACGAGATAAGCGAAGTCTGTGTTTTAACTCGAACTTACTGACATTATCCCAAAGATATGATGTCAAGGCTCTGCGTAACTTAAGCGTAACATCCACTTCCTAGACAATAAGAGCAATGGCTTCAAAGAATAAAAAACACGGCATTGGACGTGCGAAGAGACGCTCAGTTTAATTGCTGTGTGGGGTGAACTGCAATGATTTCACATGAATGTATAAATAACTATATGTTCCTTACCGCATGCTGCCATGCATGTAATCCATCTAATCATCTTTCTGATGGATTTGAGCTTGCTCTTTCTGCGAATGGGTCTCCATGCTGTGTACCTAGATGAGCCTCCTGAATTTGCACCCAAAATGCTGTCAAAACTTTCATTTATAATTGCCAACGCAGCCTCCATAATTCTCGACCGGGAAAAAGGCAGAAAAAAGGCGCGGAAAACACAAAGAACCTTAAAAAAAACAAAAAACGAAATACTAGTCCAGTGCGAATAGGGCTTTAGAGAAAATTTTAAGAAATTTGATGGTTTCACGGTTGACATCTGATTTAGAGGGTCTCTTCACCCACAAACTGACACAAACTGATGAAATGTAATGGCCCTGAGTGAATCGTTCACAGAGCAACATGCAGATATGAAGCACATTTGATGCGGACAGGACTCCAAGACTCAAGATGTCGATACTTTTCTCCGAAACAGCGATGGTTGACATTCTCGCTGCATGGGTGCTGATGAGACCTTGATGATGAGAGGCCAAATGAGCCTGGCCCGGAAACTGCCTTCAGTCAGTTCCAGCTGTGAATGTGCATCTGATTGTTGGTTTTAACCGTTTTAATAAATATCATTGCTGTGGAAGAGAATCATTGCATTGCTATATTTCAAAAGAGGATGGAGGTTTCTGTGAGAATGATATACAAACCAAATTAACTCTCAGAAAAGGGCAAATTGCTGAAAAGTGACGTGTGAGGCTCTGATACTACATTACTGTCAATGGATTTCTGACTCCTTTCTAATGATTAACAGCATCAACGTGCCACACATGTCCGTCTTTTCAGTGATGCTTAAAAAGAGCACTAGACACAGTTTGAGATATGGCAATATGGCAACAATTAATTCAAGAGATGATTGAAAACCTTGTGTATAGAACTGGGCAACCAATTCATCCATTTGCTTTTGAACATACTGAAAAGGCTGCATTGTTCACTTACTACAGGAGATCAGAAAGGTTTATTTATTAGAAATGGTAGCACATCACCAAGGGTGCTTCGATTGATCGGCCACCGATCGTAGTCGGCCAATATTCAGTCTAATTAGTTTCACTGGCGATCTCTATAAACGCCAATCAGCTGACACTTTTATTTTATTCCAAAGGTAAGTTATTCAACCTTTTAACCAAGTACACAAAGTGTTTGTGAGTAAACAATAAAACAATAAAATAAGGTGGATAATTAAGTAAAATTAAAATGGTGAAATAAGAAATATAGTAATAGAAATATACCCTCCACAGTTCCACTGTCCTTCTGTGGAAACAGTTACACTCTAAGCTGCTCCCAATGGCAAAGAGCAGGCTGCAGTTGTTGTGTCATGTTGAACATGTTGCCTACCAATAAATACACAGTTGTCAATTCATAATTTAATAATTAATAGTCTTTTAAGTCAGACGATTGTGTTTTAGAAGTCAAAGCTTGATTTGTGATAGTCCCAGAACATCCTCTGTGAGAAGAAGAAAAAACCCACCATGGAATCTGTACTAATAATGCATCTCCTCCCTCAAAGCCATAATGACTGCATTTCCTTCAAAAGACATAACAAATTACACAGCAACCTCTATTTACCACGTAGCCATGGTATCCAAAGAAAAGTGGTGGAAATAATGTGTGTTTGGAAGAAAAGACAGGCCATCTTTTCTTCAATTTAAAGCCCTGCTGCCTTTTTAAAATGTTTAAAAAAAATGTAAATGTAAAACCATTTTATTTAAAAGTGTATTTGCACATTTAATGGTGGTCTTCAAGAATAATGCAGATAGTGACCTTTTTTAATCTTCTGGGAACTTCACATTCATTCACTGTAACAATATTACAAATTTTGTTCAATAATATAGACTATATGAGTAGAAATACTTAGCTTTTATTATAACTGTCTCATATTTGTTAATGTTTCCACAGAAACATAAAAACCTGACCGTATGACTGGATTCCATTATTTTGAATGACAAACTCTAATGAAACAGGAAGGCAAATTCAGAAAACAAAGCTAAATAAATTGCTGTGATGAAATAAGTTTATTATGGGTGGCTGTGCAATGATATAGCTACAGAATATGACTTCAAACAACAGGCCTAAAATACAAATGTGTACAGTTTCTCTCTTTTATACATATTGGACAGCTTGTTTTGTACATAATACATTGATCATTATATTAAATAATTACTAATTTATAAATTGTCAACAACAACAAGTGAAGGGATGCATATAAATAAACACAAATACTTACTTTACTCTATTGTTAAACTAAACTAAAGATAATCTGAATGAAGTTGTTGTGTCTTCACATCCTAATACTCAAGGTAAAACTATTATATAAATATATTAATATTGGGAGTGAAAATTTGCACCGATACTGAGGATCAAACATAGTAATCACCTGCTGCTCAGAGGTGAGAACAAATGTTCCTGCCTTAAAAAAAGGATGTTTTATGTTATACTGCTGTGCAAGGGGAAAGCCTATTGAAATGTCTGAAAATAATAGTGTAGGGGACCGACATGAAGTATATATTTGCATGCTGGAGAGTCTCTACAATGAGCTTGCAGTGGTTACATTTCCCCCATCCCCTGTGCAGACGTGCTGCTTTGGAATGTATTGCATGTTGATAATGTCACTGTGCATGCTGAAGATAAAAATGTTATCATGTGTGTCTTTGCCCCTATACACGTGTCTGCTCCAGGAGTATGCAAGGAAATTGAGAGATAAGAGTACAGAGGAAACTGCAAGAGAACAGACACTGAATGCACAGCGGCAGGAACGTGTGTGTACTCACCTATGAAGCCAGACGAGGGAGGATTCGGCTGGATATTCTCCTGAGTGTTGCCCTGAATCACATCCCAGAGTCTCCACACATAGCTGGGGTGAAGGATGTAGAAGGGCTGGTCAGGATGGAGCTTGCGGTGCTCCACGTATGGACCAAACAGGTTGTAGTCGGGACTGGCATACCACTGAGGAAGAAAGGGGGTTGAGGGGACAAACACGTCAGTTTAGACCACACGTTTCATTACACTCTTCTTCACCCTGGTCAATTAACATGTTGGCAAAATGAAATCAATATCATAGCCATGAAATGCCAGGTTTTCAGTTCCCGTCCATCACCTGCTCCGAGCATCGACGCATTGCTATAAAGGCTGTGGAAACAGGGTCAATGGGCGCTTTTGGCATCCACTCAACTGAAAAATGTGTTTTACTTATTGTTACTTCACTTTAATGTTTGAGCTTCACTGTGCAGAATGATGTATATGCAGAGGCTGACCCCTAAAGGCTGTTTTTTGTATTCATCTGCTGAAAGGGGAAAGTTTCTCTG